AAAGTACTTCCCGAAATCACCTGGCACTACTGACAGTGATAGTGCTGCTGTTCATTTGGTCTTATCTACCTACCCAGGATTTTGATATTAGAAAGATAAAAATGAGACAACACAGGTTCTTATCTTTCTTTTAACAGAGAGAGGATTTGTTTTTGTATTGTTACCCAAAGGTAAAGCAGGAACAAATGATCAAATGTGTGGGGCGGAAATCACTACAGAGGCCTTCCAGGAAAAAACTTACATGTCTTTTGCTTCTGTAGCAAAATTTAGAAAGATTTTCAGGATTTATTTTCATTGTGATGCTAATAGGATAAGATAGTTTTGTCAGCACAACTGTGCTTGTTTTGATAGTCTCTTCAAATATATAAATCCTTTACTTCAAAAATCCTTTACTGAAAAAAACAACTCTGGATTGCACTTAATGAAACGGCAGCAAAATACCTGTAAAACACCCATATCCTGCTCTTACTGATATCTGGAATCTAAGGCAAGAGAGAGGTAATTTATAACTCCCCAAAGTACATACATACACGGGGTTTGATAACCCTGAGACATAATCCCTTTGAACAAATAGTTTTCAAGAGAAAGTCTTTAGGAAAAAAAAATCCCATCTCTAATACATGCACATGCACACGCACATGCACACACACGCTAAAGAAAATATGAATTATCACACATAGCAGGGACCATTGACTTTTTAAGTAAAATTGAGAATTTTTAATCAAATAGTGTTCCTACTCAATTAAATATTTGTCTAACACTCTTTTCATAGTCTTGAAACAAACTAGGTAGCCTTGTAGTACTTTATACAAACAGTTGGTCTTTCTAATGTAGCATCTTTCTTATAGAGCCCCCATCAGTCCAGACAAGCAACATCTGAACTAACACCTTTGAATTACATTAAGTCTCAATTTTCTGTTCCTGTGGATGATTCAGACTCAGTCATATACTTATTCATGTCCCTGAGAATTTCCCTTCAAAGTTTCCAAACCAGTTTGATATTTACAGTTGTGCAGAGTCTACTATAACCCAGTGACGCTTGCTAATGGTCATAGCCAAAGACACAGCATTATCAGTTAAAATTTCTCACTGATGTTATATTCCAAATTTTGAGTGTCTTATGTCAGAGATTTTATGTCTTCTTTTTGCCTTCATCTTTTCTTCTGGCTCTCCAGCCTTCTCCTTATATTTAAAAGGGTAGTGTTGGCCACTAAAAGAAGACTTTGGACAACCTTTGTATTTCTCAAAAGTATAGTCAGTTTTGGTGGACATGCCCTTGGTCCTACTTAAAATACTTTCTGTTGCCATGGGAAGAAATGGACTTTAGAACTAGAGACTGACTTGAGTTTAGATTCTAGCTCCATCACTTACTAGTTCTAAGTTGCTTAATCTCTCCATTTCTTCATCTATAAAACAGAGATAGTGACTTACCTCATAGTGAGGTGAAAAGTTAAATGAGGAAACATGTTAAAGTGACTCGCACAGTACCTGGCACATGGTGAACGTGTAATAATGTTAATATTCCTCTTATTTTACTGAGGTAGGAGGTAAAATGCTGGACTAGACAATAGGTCACTTTTTATGTTCTTTTCAGTTGTTGAATAGCACAGGGCAAAGCAGAAGTTCTCAAGTCACCTGGATATAGTATACTTTTAACAAGTTTTTACTGAACATCTATTATGTGCCAAAAACTGTACAAGAGAGTACATAGTAGCATAGTAAGTGCTTATCCCCCAAGGAGCTCATAGTCTGTTGGAAAAGGCTGGTAATTAGTAATGATAGGGTACAGTGGGAACAAAAGAGGAATGATATCTAAACATACTCTAGGCAGCCGGGGGAAACTTCCAGAAGAACTGAGCCTTGGGCTGAGCATGGACTTCCAGGCAGAAGGAACAGTGTTGACAATATTTACAAAGCACAGAAGCAAAAGAAAGCATGGTCTGTTCTAGGAACTGCAAATAGTTTTGAATTAACGGAGAGAAGGATTTGTGTGGAGGTGTAGCAGGGTGAAACCAGAGAGAGAGGTACGAGTCATATTTTAAAGTATATTCTGTGTCTTACTAAAGGGCCCGGACTTTAACCAGAAGGCAGTGAGGAACCACTGAAGGGTTTAAGCTGCAAACTGGAATTTTCAATGTTTCATTTTTAGAAATAAACACTTTAGCAGCAGAATAGAGAATGTATTCAAGGAAGGTTTGAGATGAGAAAGACGGTAAGAAGAAAAACTGTTTAGAGTGCTAGTAGTCAGCCGGGTGAGGCATTATAAGAGCCTGAATGAAGATAGCAAGTGTGGGGATAGAAACAAGCAGGTGGGTAAGGGAGATATTAAAGTGGAGTAGAAATGACTTGATGATATAATCTATGGGAGGCAGTGGATGCGTGTAAGGAAGGCATTAAAGGTGATTCTTGGATTCTGGCATGGAAGACTGGTGAATGATGGTGCCATTACCAACGTAATAGAATTGATGGAGGAGGTTGGGGTGATGGGTCCAGACGGCAGCCGAGATGAGTTTAATTTGGGGCATATTGCATACCATATGCCTGGGAGGATGTCCAGTAAGTAGTTGGCTGTGTTGTCCAAGAGATCTGGACAACAGAGCCAACTGGAGAGGTGGATTTGACCATATGTGAGAGTGCTGTAAGTGGTAATTTAACCCATCTGTTACCAGTTTTCCTTTATTTCCAATGACTAACATATATTAGGTGATCAGTAAATATTTGCTGAATTGATATTACCATGGCTACAGCTTTTACCCTTGGTCTCTGTACATGCTTTGAAATAAATGATTGATCTCTCTAATTTTACTCAGCAGTAGGCAACTTTGAGCCAGGTGTTATAGGCCCAAACAATGTTTAATTCACAAATGGATTATTGATGACAGACCACCACTAATCACTTGAGTAGACTGGTACAAAATTGTCTCTTACTTGATTGATTATCTTAGGTATTTTCCTGGTTATTAATCAGCCTTCTCAGTTGTAAATAAATAAGTATGGGGGGGAGCCATGAAGTTCCTCTCCGTGTGAATAGGTTTGGACATGCTGTTCTCAGAGCTAGCATACAGCAATTTGAGAAAGCCTATTTGTTTATTATCAGTTATCAGCTTATCTGTTTTTGGATATCTCTATATCAGCTTGTCTAACCCCAAAGAAATGGTGAGATAAGTGCCCTAGAAAGTACAGTGTTAATATTACAACAAGTTTATTCTAGGGTCCCCAGGCCCCAGCATATTATAGATGCTCAGATAATGTTGATTGAATTACATGAATCTATATGATATTTTAGAATTTATAAAGTGCTTTCATTTAGATTATTGTATTTGATCTTCAGAATCCTATGAGTCCAACCAAGTATTATCCTCATTTTGAGTATGAGGAAATCATATACCTTTAGCAATATTTTATGGATCTCTGATACATCTGCAGAGAGAGATGATTTCTATTGTCATTTCTCAATTCAGTTTTTTTAATGTCCTAAGCCATATTTATAATCAGTCAATGAAAGACCTGCCTAATCAAAATTCAGTTTGTACCACCTTGTGATGCTCCTGACTCTTTCAAAATGGCTTAGAAGAAAAGTTGGCCTCCAGTTCCTGAGTGCATTGCCTCTTTTCTTGCTTTAACAGAGCACTGGTTTATATTCATCACAGTCTAGGCTCGTTTACAAGTAAAGGAGCAGCAGTGATGTGAGCACTAAAATGTGTAAGCTGGTCCAAGCACATGTGATTTACTTCAGGAACACTTTCTTAAGTGAGTCCCTGTCTGTGATTCAGTTCCTTTGTGGTACATCATATGGTAAATTGACCTCACCAAAATTTCAGGCCCAAGTGGCATATTTACAGCTTTCTGGTGAGCACTTGCATGTGTTACTTCCCATGACATTTGACTTCTGTTAGATTGTTCATTTTTTTTTTTAATATGTCTTTATTGATTTCAGAGAGAGAAATGGAGAGAGAAAGGGAGATAGAAACAATAATGAGAGAGTTATTGATTGGCTGCCTCTTGCACACCCCTAATTGGGGATCAAGCCCGCAACCCAGGCATGTACCCTGACTGAGAATCAAACCGAGATCTCCTGGATCCTAGGTGGATGCTCAACCGCTGAGCCACACTGGCCAGGCAGGTTGTTCATTTTTCAAATGGCTCGTTCTTTTCCTGCTAGTGTGAATTCCTTCTTTTCTTTCCACCCTCAGCGCCTTTCTTTAAACTTTAGGAATAGGTCCATCTACTGTGGCATTTTCTTTTCATACACGTTCTCTTGGAAGTACTTATTTTAGATCTGTTTTCCTGTGATGTGAGATGTTTAGCCTAAGAGGGAACTCTGTGTTTTCAGGATTCATTTCCCTTAGGGGCTGCAGATGTTAGTCATTCGTCTGTGAAGAAGTGACCTCAGCTGCTGGGTCACTTTTATTCTGTTTACAAAGAAATGTTTCACTACTTTTGCTATTACATTGAATTCCATGGGAATGATTGGATTAAGTCTGTGCCGGATGAACTCAGCTTCTATATCCCTGCCAACCAAAGTCTGGATTCTAGCTTCTGCATCAGGTGCTAGTATAATGGTACAAAGGGCTTGGAGACATGAAACATTTTTCAACCTGATCAGGCTCCTCAAGAGTATGTTTTGGTTGACTCATAAATTGTATTGTGCCCTGTGTGTGGTAATGAGCTGTGTATTTAGGAATGGCAAAGTAACCCCTTTATGTATGAAGAGTATGTCATACAGGGAAGACCAGAGTAATACAAAGTGCTTGGTACAGGGTGCGGGACATTGAAATTACTTCTCAGATTAACAGAATTCTAGAAATATGACCAAAATAAGGTTAACTGCTTAAGCTGCTTAATTCTTTCTGTGACGACCTCAGGAGCTAAGATTATTGGTTTATATGTGTATTAATATTTTTGAGGCCTCTTAGAAAGCATTGTTGATTCTCAGAGTTTACTACATTCCCCATTTATTCCTAATTGTCTTGCTTTTGTATGTGTTCGTTCATTTGTAGAATGTAAATGGCATTCGCACAGAGGAGGCGGCTGCCGTGACAAAGGGGCCATCTACCAACCCTGACTCTGAATGGGAGGGCCCCAAGCATTCAGTAATTCCTAGTAAGAGCCAAATGACCACCCCGTCGGAGTCTCCACAAAGCTTTGACTTTGGCTCCCTCTCCATAAGCAGCAAGGAGACAGAAGAGAAGGAGCAGGGGGCAGCTGGCTATCTTGATATTAAGGAAATGCCACAAGGCCCAAGTGGGGAGTGTGTAGGAGTGGAGGAGCAGGCCAGTGCCTTAAAGCTCTCAGTATCACCAGCTTCCTCTCAGCTGCAACTTGGTGAAAAAAGAGCAGAGAGTAGTGAAGACCATGTTACACCAGGAGAGCCACTTGGAAAGCAAAATGGATCATTTCTTGACTCTTGTGTGGGTAACCAGTTCCCCACCCTCATTCGAAGTTTCCAGGTAGTAACTGATTCACTGACACAGGTCTAATGACTCACTTTGGGAGAGGGCCAGAATCTGTTCTGTGGAGGAGGTGGAGGTGGTGGTAGTGGTGGTGGTGAGGGTAGTAGTCTCTGCTTTTTTCAAAATCACAGAATAAAATTGAAGCCTTTGATTACTATAAAGAAATTTAGTCAGAGGAATTAACTCCGTGAGATGCTTTTTCCCATGATGACTTAACAAGACTCTTGGGGGTAAATGCCAGCTATTAACCTTTATGAAGCTGGTGTGTGTTTCTCTTTTCCTTGCTCAAGTATGGGCAATGTGAAGAAATGAATTTCTCAGATTTATATGATGAGGAGCCTACAGTGTTCTGAGACCATGTCAAAAAATTCAGATACTCCTAATTAAAAGGGGTAACTGATTTTATTATGAGATTTCAGGCCCCCCCAAATGTATTTCTGTATTACAGCCACACTGTACAGGCCACCACTCCCACTGACCCCACTCACGGGGGCTTCCGTGATCATAGGCACTAATCTCCTGTGCTAAGGTGGATGGCCACTTAACTGTATCACAATCAAACAATAGTTTTGGGGTGATTTATAGTCTTGGGGAAGGTGAACTGATGGACAAGAAGCCTTTGATATTCCACTAATGTTCATTCTTCTGAAATTCTAAGATTAATCACCAGGTGGTGGTAGCACTGATTATTTTCTTTCCAGTTTTCCAAATACTGTTTCTTCTCAATCACTCCAAAGTGAATGTCTGACATTGATTTGAAAAAAGTTAATGAATTCCAGGGTAATGCATTTCAATGCCACTGCTGTTTCATGTACCACTTGAACTTAGTGGAGGAAATGTGGCTGATTTTCTTAATGGTACAGTTACAAGGACAAACAAAAGTGACTGCTATTTGGCAAATGGTTTTATTTTCAAATTCTGAAGGTCAGTCTGAAGTGTTTTATGTCATCAATCATAATTGTCTGATCTTACAGCTTTCCATTAAGCATATGAAAGGGATTTCAGTAATGCTGTTCTTTAATATCTGTCATGATTTGACACCTTGTCAGAGCTACTTTGGAGTCGTGTCCAAGTCTTGGGCAGAGATTGAGCTAGCCCTTTGCTTGATTAGAACTATCACTTTGATCAGATCAGTGTCAGAAGATTAGTTCCCCGCAGCCTTCTGAAGATTCTGGTAACTGTTTCTTTACTGCTTCACAGCCTCCCCTGGTGAAGACTCAGACCGTCACCATCTCAGATACTGCCAATGCTGTGAAAAGTGAAATCCCAACCAAAGATGTCCCTATTGTCCACACTGAGACCAAGACCATCACCTATGAAGCTGCTCAGGTAGGGCACCGTTTAATGTTTCAGAACCAAAGCCTGGAGTAAACACAATAAATAACCTTTCTTCACAGGGTTTCTAATTATTTGCTCCAAATAGTGATAGGCTTTTCTGGGGCGGTTCTTTTTAGAAGAGATCACTGATCTAAGAATGCCCCAAAATACTTTTCTTGTTAATCCTTACCCGAGGATATTTTTTTCCATGGATTTTTAGAGAGAGTAGAAGGGAGAAAGGTGGGGACGGAGGGAAGGAGAGAGAGAGAAACATATTTGTGAGAGAGACATATATCGGTTTCGTTCCACACATGCCCCAACTGGGGCCAGGGATCAAACTTGCAACCCAGGTACATGCCTTTGACTGGGAATCAAGCCTACGACCCTTCTGTGCTTAGGCCAGCCCTTTAACCACTGAGCCACACTGGCCAGGGCTCCAAAATACTTTATAAAATCAAAATTGTCTTGGATCTGATTGCTTATACCCACCCAATTCAGTCAGGGAAGGCAGTCTAGTGTAATGGTTAGGAACATGAGCTTTGGGTCAAACAAACCTGAGTTTAGATCCTGGCTTCTCCATTTATTAACTTAAGCAAATAACTGAACATCTCTGAGCCCTGATACCCTGCCCCAACCCCACCACGCATGATGTTAGTACCTGTATCTACCTCATGATTTTGTTATGAAGATTATATAAGACATAGTGATGCATGGAACTGACTTGAGCACCATGCCTGAAAGCATAAATAACAGCTCTAATAATTATAACCAATTTAGTACAATTAAATTAAATTTAATATCACATAAGAATTTAAAATTTTTGTTTGCATCCTACTTTTAATAAAATTTCTCTTTCATTATTGGCAATTTGAATGAGCTAAGGTTGCTTATGTTGAATTGTTTTTCTTTCCTTTTTTGTTTTGTTGATCCTCACCTGAGGATATTTTTTCCATTGATTTTTAGAGAGAGAGGAAGAGAGGGAGAGAGGGGGGGAGAGAGAGAAACATTGATGTGAGAGAGACACTTTGTTTGGTTGCCTCCCTCACATGCCCTACCGACCTGGGGATTGGACCTACAACCCAGGTACATGCCCTTGACCAGGAATCAAACCCGAGACCCTTTGGTCCACGGGCTGACGCCTAATCACTGAGCAAAACTGGCCAGGGCTGCCACTCACTAGTTTTGAGTTTTGGGGCAAATAATTCCTCTTCTCTGAGCCTGAATTTTCTTACCTGGGAGTGCTAATAAATCTCTGTTCTTTCTATTTATTTCATAGGGCTGTGTGAGCATCAGAAAAGATCCTGTTAGAAAGCCGTCTGTGAACTATAAAATGCTGTACACAGTACATAGTTATTGTCACTCTTGTTGAACCTGTGGCTACACTCTGCCTCCTCTTTCTGATCTACTCCTATTACTGACCCAATGCTAAGGGAAAATGGACCCATCCAGCTTTTTTAGAAGGAGCCATGTTGCCAGGGTATTTTTTAAAACTTATTTATTAAGAGATCACTGTAAAGGAATCAGGGTTTTGATTTAGAATGTACAGCTGAAGAGCAAAACTGCATCCTGCAACATTCGCCCACAAGGCTTCCTGCAAGGCATAATGATGCGCCATGTTTTCTTCCCCTCTGTAGACTGATGACAGCAATGGGGACTTGGACCCAGGGGTCTTGCTGACAGCTCAGACCATCACATCTGAAACCACCAGCAGCACCACCACAACTCAGATTACCAAGGTAACAGACCAGCCACTGCTCCCTTCTGGAATCCAGTGGCATGTTGAGCTTGCTGCCTCTCTGCAGGAAGGACCCTGATCTATAAACAAGGGTTTTCTGCTCCATCCTTACTGAGCCAAATTATCCCAAGTGTCCCAGGTGGAAGGACCTGCTGCTTTCCCTGGGAATAAACCTAGGGAGACCTGAGAGTGTCCCTGCCTACTTTATAGTTTCATAAAGTCACACATGGTTGTTGTCTTTACACATCCATCTGTCTCTTGGGTTAGTGAGTCTCCTATCTGGCTTTGGAGGTAAGTTTAAAAAAACCAGTTTAAGGGCAAGTGTTGTTGGTATTATTGTACAACCGTATTTTCCAAGCCAAAAAATCAGAACTCGGGGTCCAACAAAGAATTTTTATGTCATGTCCAGGATCAAGGCCATGGGAACTATAGTTTGGATCCTGAAATATTGGAATTATTACCATATTGCTTATGGGAGCAAGAGGGGCAACATATCTAAAATTGGAACTGCTCCCAGACAGTCAGGGGCAATCATGTTTGTTGTAGCACTAGAGGAAAATGCATTTTCTTAAAAGTAGGAAATCTAGATTTCTGACCAAGCTCTGTCATCAACACATGTACGGACTGGAAGCCAGTTACTTACCATGTCTACCTACACCTTTGTTTTCTTCATGTGTCAAGTCGGGAAACCTACCCATGCTGAGGGGATTATTTGAGGCTCTCTTGATACCAATAATATGAAAATGCTTTAAAATAAAGAGCCCAATTTCAGGCTGCATGAGACTTTTGGTCAGCCTTTTGATTTTTTTCGTCCTAAAAATAATCAAATAAAATATACAAGTGAAGAAAAAACAAAATATATTTATCTGTTTTGTTTACTCACTGAACTTCTGTGGTGTTTGGGAGGTAGAAAAGGGGAAAAGTAAATAGAGATTATGACTTTCTGTTTAACTTATTGAAGATTTTAGCAATCCAAGGGGATAGAGGTATGTTTATTTAGCAGGTCCAGCCAAGGTTTTGGACAAGTAGGTGAGAAGCTGTCCTATCCAGTACCCAGCGGCAGATTAAAATTTGGAGTGGAGCTTTCAGAATAATCTCTTGCTGTTTTTTCTTTCTTTCTCATATGACCACCTCCCTTTGGTTTCAGACTGTAAAAGGTGGGATATCAGAGACCCGGATTGAAAAGAGAATTGTGATCACGGGAGATGCCGATATTGACCATGATCAGGTGGGAATGCTGAGTAGATTCTGGGCATGGGAGGAGTCCCTGGGCAGGAACATTGATGGACGCAAAAGATACCTCTGCCAGCTTCACCTCCAAAGAGCCCCCTTGGCTACTCTAACTCTTACTCAAGAAGAAAGATGAAGGAAATCAGATCACAGAGGCCTGTGGGATGGGGGCTGTGAACTGGGGAGGCAGGGAAGTGGAATAGGAAGAAATAGGAAGGAATAGGAATAGGAAGACTTTAGACTCAAAACACCTGGTTTAAATCCTAGGTCTTGCCATATCCTAGCTCTTAACCCCCCAGGCTTCTGCTTCCTCATCTATAAGGTGGGCATTTTACACACATCACACATCAAGGTTGTTGTGAGACTGAAGTGAGAGACGGATGTACAGTGTGTGTGGCACACGGTGGGCTCCAAGTAACTGGAGCTGTTGCTATTTGGGGGATATCGAGTATGTAAGCCTGTGCTAGGGACAGTAGGTGGTATCAAAGCAAAAGGAAGGCATGCCTCTACTCTCAGGGCTGTCAGAGCTCAGGAGACAACTAGAGAGACATAGACCAGACTTGATTTCTGTCCTTGATCCATCACTCACTCACTGTGTGACCTTGGGCAAATCACTTCAGCTCTGATTCTTTTTTTCTTCTCCTAAAAGAGTACATTGATCTAGATCATTTCTGGGCCCTTCTGAGAGCTAAGTTCTATGTTTTTATGTTAATTAGGTGCTAATTGTGTGCTACAAGCAATTAGCAAATAATAAGGTCAGGATTAATGTTCCCAGTTCTCTGCCAGTGAGGTTAGAACAGTAACTGCAGAGACGTGGGGGCGGAAGACACTGCGTGCAGATGCTCTGGAATCATTGACAGGAGCACAGGAGCGCTGGAGCAAAAATTCTGTGGCCTTTGTGCTGATATGCTGAGTGCCTTAAACGCAAGAGAAAGAAAACCTGAGCTGCAGTGCTGGCAGCTCCCTTGGTAGCAGGGTTGAGACTTGCAGCTAAGAAAGCCGGGCTCAGGGTCCCAGCAACAGGCTGCTCAGCCCAAGTGAGAGGCCTGCAGCCTGTCTGTCCCAGCTCAGTGGATCCTGCTGCATCGCTGCCTGCACCCCCTTCCTCAGTCTGGTGTGCTCTGGGCCCCCACCACGTGCTCAGTCAGTGCTGGACAGCAAGAGCTGTGGGCTGGCAACGTGTGTGGGGTTTGGAGTGAGACAGACCTGGGTTGAATCCTGACTCTGTAGCCCACTGGTTGTATGCCTTTGAACAAGTGATTTTACTTCTCAGGTATAGTTTCACCATCTATAGAATAAAGATAATCAGAGATTTTTTTCAGGGTTGTTGTGACAAAGGGACAAGCACACTTGACAGCTCAGATGCTCAGTGTCCCTCAGTTCTCTAGGTACTGAGGGCTGCACACAAGGGATAAGGTGTGGTGCTCTCTGGGTAGGGGGAGGGGAGCACTTTAAGAAGGACTGTTCAGGAGACATTGTGGGGTGCAGGGTTTCATAGAGAGAGAGGTGAAGGCCAGAGTAACCAAAGAGGGTCCTGAAGCACAAGCAGGCGAGTTGGGCAAAAAGAGATCAGGGAGGATGCACAGGGGCCTGTAGTGGTGGTCGTTCCAAGAATGGCTTTCGTGGAGTCAAGAGACCAAAAGAGGGATTTCCTTTCTTCGCCCGTCCCTCATGTCTATCTTAGGGATGGTTCTACTTCTTCTTTTAAAATAATTTCATTGATTTTTAGAGAGTGGAGAGGGGGCAGGAGAGAGAAAAGCATCGACCTGCTGCCTCCTGCACGCACACCTGCAATCCCCTACTGGGGATCAAGCCCGAAACCCTAGTATGTGCCTTGACCAGGAATCGAGCCTGTGACCTTTTGGTGCATGGGACAGTGCTCAGCCAACTGAGCCACACTGGCCAGGGCAGCTAGAGTTCTTTTTAATGGAGGGTG